CTCTTACACTTATAGAGAATTCATACATTCTTCTCCTTTATGTTTACATATTAGTTCTGTTCTATCTGGCAAACTGTTGTTCATGAGTCAGCATGAATTATGTAAGTAACAATGAAGGAACATAACAGGAAAGAGGTTTAAAATAGATAAAGGCTCAAACTTTACAATATGTTAGGCTTTCTATATACCTAGATAAATTTGGCTGCAATTGCATTTTATGGCCGGAGAGGATTCATTGAAAAGAGTAAAACTAAACTCAAACAAGGTGGGACTGGAAAAAGAAAGGTGACAGCAACTCAGTGAACAATGAAGTTTCTAAGCAATGTTATTTAGATTTGCAACAAGAAATTAATTCTCTTTCTTGCTCATCAATAAACAATGCATCCAAATTGGATGACTTTCCTCCAAAGTGTCATGGTCCTGCATATTTATTGTCCGAATGATGTCATGAATTGCCTAAAGAAAATCATCCTGAATCATTCTGTGAATTATACATTTGCTTATAGATTAGTGCACATGAAATTGCATTAATATTTTCTTTAGTGCTCATCAAAAACACAGTTCATTTTCCCCTAGAGAAAACTGGTATTCGCTTATTTGTTTTGTTTTTCTTTCTGTTTTTTTTCACCATCGAGGATGATTTTTTTTTCCTATAAAAAGAGAATAAAATTCATAGCTTTGGGGTAGTTGGAATTGGAATGGTGCAAGCCAATACAAAGAGGATGTTAATGGGGAGAATGGAGGGTGGAAACTGTATCCTGAAGATGTACACAAGAAGAAGGAAAGAAGTAGGAAGATGGTTTTCTTGACGCAGTGGATGATGAAATTGTTACAGGAGTTCGATTATTATTTAAAATTTATTTCCAAGTAAGAGAATAAAATATCTAAAATGAGTTGTGTGATATGAAAAATTACAACCAACTTTTTTCCTTCCTAAGTTTATGTCTTTATCCCTCTTTTCATCAAAGTCCAATGGCAAATATTATTTTTTCATATAAAATAAAGAACTCTTAAAACATATCTGAATACATAAAGCACATGCTACAAAAATAAGGTCGCAACTCTTAAAAATAAGGTGAGACTAACCAGGAATATTTTCTAAGAGGACAAGAGTAAGTGGAAATATCCAATCAGGTGCTTGAAAAAATACTGTGCATGTTGTATTGTTTTCTTTTGGCATTTGTGACTTCAGCATTAAACCTATTAAATTCATATACAAAGCCTCTAAGGACGAGTTCTGCAAGCATTGGTTAACTTTTGAAGAACCATCCGTTGGTAATGACAGGGTACCAATAGACTCTATTTTGTGACTTTAAAAGCACACATGGAAATCCCATGAATATTGATGTTGGAAACTGATAGTCACTTAATTATTTTGTTGGTATTGTAATATGATTTTGTTTTCTTAATATCTGATAGTCTAAAATGTTAAGACAAAGGAAACTGGTATAAATTGTAACTGGGGGAAAAGAGAGGTAACAGAACAAAATATTATAACTTAATTCAGCTATCAAATAGAGATATATAAGCAAGAAAAAAGTAAGCTAATTCTCCCCTGAGATGCTTAAGTCTAAGGTGAATGCTCATCTGTCTGGGATAGTTTAAGCAAGGCTTGCATGGAGAAAGGGAAATAATAATGTACTAATTTGTGATATTTCCACAGCATCCATTTTATATTGCCAACATGCCAACTTGAGCACATTTAGCTAGACCTCAAGAGCAAATCAAGTGCCATCATTAGAAATCTTGTAGGAATGGGAACTGTTTTGTATCAGGCCCAAAAGTGGAAAATCTGAAAATTTTTTTAAGACTGGGGCAGGATAGGACTGCAGAGAGCCAGTGCTCCAGGGTAAGACTGCAGAGAGCTAGTGCTCCAGGGTAGGACTGCAAAGAGCTAGTGATCCAGGGTAGGACTGCAGTGAGCCAGTGCTCCATGGTAGGACTGCAGTGAGCCAGTGTTCCAGGGTATGATTGCAGAGAGCTAGTGCTCCAGGAGCCAGGGTCTTGGCACTGGTAAGGCACATAGGCATGCTACTTGAGTAGATTTTTCTGTTTTAACCTTAGAATAATTGTGCAGCTGTCATTGAGACACCATGCAGGACAACCTACTTAGAAGCGACACAGAGGTAACAATGAAGATGACAAAACACTCTTTCTCTCTGTCCTGTTCAGCACTGACACCATCATCAATGGCATGCAGCTGGAGGTTGTGGCTAGTAGTTTAATAATTGTGTAAATTAAATTTTATACTTAAAAAGTAGAAGATGTACTGCCTCTGTTTGAATGAGAAAAAACTTTATACTCTGACCCATGAAATCAGAATATTTTTGTCAATATAGCTTGAGATATCTTCTAACTATAAAGTTTCTTTTAGCTATTTAAGCTGACTAAAAACTTAAATTTTACAAAATTCCTGTTTTTCCCTCGTTTCTTTTGCATTAGTTCAAGGAAGATGATGAGGATAGGATTTTTTTCCCCTTATTTTAGCATCACCATTCAGTTCTACACTGTCCCTTAAGTTTCCTCCCTTCATCCGCGGAAACATAAATTTCCAAAGCAGACTGTGCGGAAGCTGTCAGTCAGCATCTCCGCCATGTGGATCCCGTGTGTCTCATCACTGCTTTACTTCACAAAAACAGTCACGTTCCATTCATTTACACAAACACATCCCACTTCTTATAGTCACAAAATAAAACAAATGAAAACTCCAATACACTTTGCTTTTATATGAAGTTCTTTCTCAAATTTCACATATTTACTGTTTACCAACACACAATATAAGACTATATTTTAGATTTCCCCTGCATTCCTTTATAGATTTTCTTCCAGAGCTCTCTGACAACTTATAGTAATACTTTTACATTGTTTCACCCTAATCCCTACAGTATTTGATCTTATTTATAAATCATTGTTTTATCTTATGTTCATTTACTATTTTCATGTGTATTTTCTTTTTTAACTTGAAGGTCCATGTCTAATCAACTAATAATAGAATAATCATATGCATATTTAAATAATATATTCATTATATTCTAATATTGAAATTTATCTTATATTCTACTAGCCTGTCTCCTTTGTAAGTCACATGTTTGTAGATAACTTTAAGCAATCATTCATTAAATATTTTTATAATGAAATATAATACTATAGTTTCCTAACATTTTTACTGGTTTAAAAGGTCTTCATGTATTATTTGCCTAATGACCAAAACAAACCCGAATAACTATTATTCATTTTCTGAAACTAAATACTAAGGAACAAGAAGGTTCGGATGATTGCTTATGTCTAAAAATCCAAAATATAGCAACACTGTCTGAAGTTGTAATTCTACCCTCCTTGTGTAGCATAAGTAACAGTCTTTGAATAAAAAAAAAAAAAAAAAACCTCATGAATGTTGTGGGGAGGTCTAAAATGTTCATTTCTCATGGCAGCTGGCCTACTCTCTCAATTTCCACTTAATCTCTGAACTTATGTTTCAGGTTAAATGAAGAAAACATATTTTAAAAAATGTCTTGCGATGGGTCAATACTCCTAAATGAAGACTTAATTATAGGATAAGGGTACCAGGTGACTGAGTATCTGAATATTTGAACAATACTTAAATAGACTTTTATTAAGCACTTAATCACAGTACTATTGTGAGGTTACAAGCGATATCCCACAAGGGTGGTCAGTTGTAGCCATTGCAATTCGAGTGGATACAACCCAGAAATTCTTAAGTAATACCAGATCCACACATAATACACTGAGACAGATTGAATCGCCCTATGTCAGCAAATTCAATTTAAGCATTCTCAAAGTTCTAACTAGTAAAGACAGAAGGAAAGCAGAAGAAATCCTTTTTGTGTAAGTGCTCATAAAAATCACCACAGTCATAATGTTACTGGTTTTCTATATTTATAGTCACAAAACTGTGCTTTTCTGTCATTATTTATGAACTCAGAAAGCATAGATTCAGGATCAAGAAAAACATGTTTTTCTTGAGGAGATGTAAAGGCCCAAATCTGTGGCTTTATTAACACTTGTCCTCTTTGACAAAGGACAACATCTGTCTCACTTTCACTACCAGAGAAAAATGGTACTGAATTCTCCCATGGAAAATTCTGAGTATCAGTTAATTCTTGAAAATTTGCCTGCACCGTTTATGAGTAGCTAAAAAATAAAAAATGGAAAATAAGAGTTACGCTTGACACACAGGGGCCCTTCATCTCTATATTCCAAGGTACTGTAGTAGCTAAGAAAAACATTTTAACCCCCAACATTTGAAATAAACTGAAAAGTCTTTTTAAAAGACTAACATGGTATTTTGGAATTGATAACAATATATATTGACAATATCAGGTTTGCCACTGAGAGCTTATATCTCCCAGGCAGCTTGAGAGCGAAAGGCACTTAAACACCTTGAAAGAAGCCAGATTAAAGATTCATCAAGGAAAGTAAAGAAATATGGTTTTTCTTCCTCTTCTTTTTATTATGAGGGGTGCTTATTCATATAGTTCTTCACAGACATGAGGCAAAAGATGTGAGAAAAAGACACAAGAATGAAAAGGTAAATTTATCATTTTTTTTATACTTTTAACATTTAAAAAATCCAGAAAAATGTGAAGTTCTGAGTTACCTTTATCTTTAGTAGGAAAAATATTATTTACGCCTTCCAAAACAAAATCAACAGTTTATTTGCTGAGCTTTCAGCATACCCTGACAGAAACTACAAAAAGAACAAGAAGGGATTTGGGAAGAAAATGAGAAAACCCTCCATTTTGTGAAAAATGTAAAAACATTAATCGCGATATTGAAGAATAAATTGTATAATAACTTGAGTTGTCAAAGTGCATTACAAAGACAAAATTATATGTTATTGCTTAAATATCTTCAAACATGAAGAAAGCTACATCATCAATATTTCATTTTTTCAGATAATTTAAAAAATGGAAACATGACCCAAAAAACATATGATAATTTATAAAGCACTATAAGTTAAGACGTACGTATATACTCACAGATTTTTAATGTCAACTGCCCCACGGAAAGCCTTCCTTGGAATTGCTTGAATTTGATTTTCACTGAGATCGCTAAAGACAAAATGAAGGAGAGATAGAGTTATGAAATTATATTGTATGTTTCATTTAACAAAAATAAGGAATAGAAAAACAAAAATAATCCCACAAAAAAGCAGTCTAGACCACATAAAAAAGGCAAAATAGTTAACTACAAAGCAAATAACTACACAAATAATTTATAATTCTTATATAATTTAAAGTTGGGATTAAATATTTTGATTCTTTGTTCTATTATAAGATACGGTATTTTAATTTAATGGTTGACTTAATTTTGTAAAGTAAGATATTTCATCAAGACCAACAGATTTTTCATAATTTCAAGAGGATCCTTTAGAATTTAACATTTGTCCGAGATGGCTGTTTTAACTGAGCTTCCTAGAGAAGCATGACAATACGCAGACCACAGAACCAAGATTCCATAGCAACTTAAGTAATATTAAAATAGAATATGCCAGCACTCATCCAACAACAAAATAGTTTCTGCTTGAAATATTAATAGTAGGCTGATTTACAGCTTTCCCTAAATATATTATAATCATAAACATGGACTCTATATTCATATCTTAATTTAATTAAGAAATACATTTTAATCAAGGAAAAAGCACCCTCTGGGTTGAAATAAGAAGTTTGGGGAGAAAAAAAATGCTCATCATAAAATGAATCATTTTTTTACTTCCAAGAGTTCAGAGTCAATTTTAAGAGCTTAGAAAGTGTTATTAGTTTTATCACACAGAGTACAAATACACACGCATAAAGATACGCCTTTGAAAACAGAAAATTGCCTTCTGGGTTTTATTCACATGAGCATACAGCAAGAAGCTGAACTATCAAGCAAACTATTAAAATACCAATGAAGTTACTCAAATTCTAAGATAACCCGTTCTCGCAAAGAAAGCCGAGGCTACTGACCACAGATGCCCAGCAGATGACAAACTGAGCCGTTTTCCACCATGCGGAAGCACACTGAGCAGGTCGCGCCACACTCCCTCAAGTCTGCTTGTGAGCAGAGCTCATAATTCACGTGCTTGTAGTCACACAAGAGAGGAGAGGATATGACTGGCTGATGCAGAGATTTAGTGTGTGGTCTTGACCTCATTAACGCCGAGTTTTAAACAAATGAGATTTGAGTTGATATCTCAATATTCTTAATGTTCAAAGGAAAAAAGGTGTTTGCTAAGCAATTTGTAAAGAAAAGATTAGAAGGAAGAGGAGGAAGACGAGGAGAAAGAAGAGGAAGAGAGGGAAGAGGAGGGGAGGAGGAGGGGGAAGACGAAGAAAAAACAAAAATCTCATATATTACTTCAAAGAGTAATTGTACCCATTTGTGCTTATGCAGGAAACGCATTCTGAAGCAATGTAGCTCATTATTGCTTTCAATAATTTCAGTACATCCTTAAGAGCAATAAAACCTCATTTCCTTAAAAAGCGCTGATTTCCCCCACTTGTCATTGATTAGGGCTGACTTCTTGCCTTCCTTTTTAAAATTATGTCTAGTTAAGAATATATATATATTAAAGCCATGATGGCAGAAACTGTTCAGAGGAGGTCACAAGACAAGATATCTGAGGAAAAAATACTAAAAAATAAAATTAGCAAGCAACAAAGAAGAAAAAAACAAGATGACATTCAAGTGAATATGAAGCTATTGTTCTTGCTGACAATGATTGTTTTACAGTCATGTCCCTGCCTGAGTTACAATTTCTAATTAGTCCCCCTTTCCATCTATAATAAAAGGAATCCTTATGAGAGCATATAGGTAATAATGGCAAAAACATTTACTCCTGGTTTTGAGATTTACCTCCATTCTGTATCCTTCCAATCTCTAGAACTTGGGTCCCTTCCTTCCCGCAGAGTTGTTCTTTTGCTGGGTTGCCATGCACTTGAGGTCAGACTCTTGACTGACTTCAGTGAGGAGAGGAAAGTAAGGCTTTGTGTGGCTCAAATAAACATAACCGTGACACCCTGAAGTTTAGGAGGGATAACACTCCTGGACTTTGGATTATTTTTATTGATTTCCTATGACAAATTCCTAGAGAATAGACCTGTTTTCTTTGGTTAATAGTCACCAACCTTTTTTTCCCCTAAGCCTTTGAAGGACTAACAGGCTCAAAGCTCAATATTTCCCTAAGACTGATGGCTGTATCTAGCTGTACCCCTGGCTAGATAGCTTCTCAGCATGGAATGGAGTCTAAGCATGCATGAGTGTGCAGTCCATTGGGTTAAGCAGTTTTCATTATTGATGCCAGGTCCCTTTTGACAAGTGGGCTATGCTCACCTGGAAAGAAAGAACCTGACATAAGCAATAGCTGATGCTTAAAAGAAATATACATCCCATGCTCCAATTACCATGCCTATGTTTTAAAGCAGATATTATTATTTCAGTTTTGGAGGAGAGGACCTAAGTTTTGAAAATGTTATCAGTGCTTAATGATAAGACTAATTTTTAAACATATAGGAAATGTAGATAAACACTGAGCCAAAATTTGTGAACATCTAATAAGGGTTACTAAATCAGTTTCAATATCATTTTCTTGTGTTTATGAACTTAATGGGAGGGTTTTCTTAACTCATCCTAGGCTTCAACAAATGTCATTTTTGCATTAGTGTATTAGAATGAATATATATATACATATGTATATATATATATATATATGATAGTAGCTATATTATAGTATATATAATGAATATGTATATATGATACTATCATATATACTACTTTATATAGTATATATAGTATACTATATACTGTATATATAGTAGTATATATACTATATATATTACTATTACTATATATATAATGAATATATATATATATATATATATATATATATATATATATAAGCAATCATACTATATATATGATTGATAATATCCATTTCCAACATATAGTGTAGCATGGTTTGCAATCATGTTTACTCACTTACTATCCACTACATGTGGAGCTTTGGTCAGTGGATTAAAGGTTAATGAATCGAGTGAAGTTTTTCCTGTTTCTAGAACATTTAAAATCAAGTAAAGAAGATAAAAATAATAACTAAATATGAAAGTACCAAAAAGAGTGTTGGTTTCATGAGTACTGCCATCATTCTGCCTGGAAGGCAGCTATTTGACCTCACTGTCTATGCTCTTTTCCTTGAAGATCAATGAAGACTCAAGGAGACACCCCTCATTGTGGACTATTTTTCCTTGGGGTATGTAGAGTAAGTAAAATGAGTCAGAACTAGTAAGTTACTGGGATGAAGCTACCATGGCGGAAGTTTGCAATTATATCACTAGGCAATAGAGTGTAAAAATCTGTTTGAACAGCAAAATGGCTTGATTGGCTTGATTTTTAGGAAGATTAATCTGGAAATTGAATTTCAGAGCAGGCAGGGGTAATGGGCAGAGAAGAAGTGCCAGGCAGTATCTCCAAAAGTTGGCTAGTGTCCAGTGCATGAGGTATTTTTCAAAGGAGAACATTAGGCAATAAAATTTGAAGTTGGCTCCAGTTGGAAAATATTTGATGTAAGTTAAGGTGACTGTCATTTCAGCATAGTTTGGAATCACTTGAATTTTCTGAGCAACATAGTGACAAAATTGTGAACCCAGAAAGGCAATTGTCCTACTGCTATGCCAGGTACTGGGGAATTGAGGCAAGATGATTGATCACTTTAGGTTACTGAATCTATCATGTTGTGACATTTCTGAAGAAAAGATACTTGAAGTTTTTAAAATTGTAACTGTCTGTCTTTATGTTTTGCTTTTACAGAAGCATGTGCATCGTATGTATTCCTGCTTCCCATAGTCATCAGAAGAGGGAGGTCGATGTCCTGACACAGGAGTCACAGATGGCTGTGAGCTGCTGTGAAGGTGCTGGGAACCAAATCTAGGTCCTATGCAAGAGCAGCCAGTGTTCTTAATAGCTGAGCCATCTCTCCAGCTCTGAAAATATTGAAATTCTTGGAAGACAAGTCTATTCCTTTTCCTGGAAATGGCAGGAAGGTGTGAAGAGCTGCAAAGACTGTTCCTTTCAGAAGCCAATCTCCATAAATAAGGTACTGAGTGGACAGTAACATGATTCCAGCAGGAAAACTGTATGTGCTTTACATAAACACTATGGAAGACACCTCCAAGAACTACACATGAGACAGGATCTATCTGGGTCATCACAGATCTCTGGGTTTCCCATTTAAACCTTATTGTTTCTCACCACATGCAATCCACTTGCAAACACATCTACAGTACCTGCAGTCAAGCCCTGTGCTCCAGCTCCTGCTACTCTTCTTTCTCCTTGTCTTCCTCCTCCTCTCTCTCCTTCTCCTTCTCCTCCTCCACACTCATGACTACTGTTACGATATCAGTGAATTGGCAGCAATCCCCATTTCTTAACTGACAAAGTCTAAATTCTTCTCCTACTATTGATTTATGACCACTTCTAAAGCACCCCCAACACTATATAAACATTATATCCAAAATTGTATGAAGCTATTTCCTCCGGAAGTCTTCCTCATCAAAATTAAGGAGGGCAGTATCCTTACAGTGGCTTAGACGACCAGAGACTCTAGACATCCTATTCATCCAATACCAATCTATTATAAAATTTAACCCAGCTTAAAATACTTCCAATTTTTTTTCTCTGCCCTTCTGTCACCTTAACCTCTTCTGGTATGGACTAGCTTAATACCCTGAAACTAAAACTATGCTGCTACATAGCTCTCCTGTGATTGCCACTTCTTAGATACAAATGCCAGAGTATGTGATACAATACAAAGAAAAGCTCAAAGCATCAAATATATATATATATATATATAACTAGCCACAAAGAAATTATTTGACACTTGCTTTTGAGATCTATTTATACTCTTTCATATTCCATCCAAATATACTGGACTCCTTGGGGTTTCTTGAAATTTTCAGGTGATGATTTATTTCAGAGCATACATGTATGTCTCTATGTGTATCTTAATCTTTGACAAATTTTGTGTTTCTAATTCATCCTCTGGGTGTTATTTGGGTTGTTAGTCTCCAGGAAC